AGAATTAGAGGGACCCACCGCCATAACTTAACGAATACTGAAGAGCGCTGACCTATGCTTATCAACAATGGTTAAGCTATGAGTCAACAACCGGAAGGTCAATGACCCTTCGCCACAGCTAGTTTCCTGTACCCGTCCGACTGCCAACACTTATCGTCCTGCCAGCGTCTTGGTACACGTATGTCATGTATAATCTGTTTGACGGGAGAAATTGCTTAATTATGTAAGAGTAGAGGAAGGGACAAGGTTAAGGTGTGAATACATTACAATGACACAGATAGAGAAGTTAAGCACAAGTCTCAGTTTAAGTGGAATTTTAAGTGTAAGTGTAACTGCGCGCACACGTCTTTTTAGCACTAGAGAAATAAGAAGAACAGGTTATGTCATTAATCCTCTTCAGGGCGCGAAGGGGGAAGATCAGGGAGGGCTACGAGTTGGGGAGGGGAAGATTCCGCGACAGGGGTCCGTTGTAGTACGCGCGAGTGAAGGATATTCCCTGGTTCAGGCCTAGGTTTGATTTCACATTTCTCATAATCTGTTGCAAAATGGCAGTAACTACTACCATGGCTGAAAATGGAAGAGGCGGCATTTTTTTGGGAAGATCGTGGGAAAATTGATTTTGGATCTGAGGCTCACTTCTGGGGTCTTCTGGGTGTCCTTCCGCCTTGTGCGCGGTGCTTCGGTTTGACCCAGATTTAGCTTTTATTCGTTCTTTGGGTGCTGTGGTTATGCCTCGCGCGACGGGCTTTACACTTTTCTACATAAGGGTTATATTAAAATAACGCGTTAAAAACTCTTCTCCACCGCCGCGGGGCCTGCACAGGAGGCTAGGATCATTCCCATGTGTTGCCTTGTTCTTGCGTATGGCTCTGGGAACAAGTCTAGTGGATTGTTCGATTGTATAGAAGGGGATAGAGCAAGAAAGACCTCGAGCGCCGCGACAACCCGGAACTTGCTAGGCCTCGAGTTCTCGTTTGCGGCTTGGATTACGCTCTACGCACAATTAATCGATTACGCTTTACGGTTAATTCCCGATAGCTACAACGCATTACGTAGAATTAAAACGGCGAATTACGCTCTACGCCAAATGCGCCAATTACGCTCTACGTTGAATTAGAGGGTCCGTCTACGCTCTACGTAGAATTAAAACGGCCGATTACGCTCTACGGAAAAGGGCTTGGGGGCCCCCTTCAATGGCCCGCTAATTCTCCTGACCAGTTACGTTCCTTTTTAGGCCAATTTCTACGATTTATTCAATCTGGCGGAGGCTACCACTCTCCTGAGAATACCACATACACGATCATCAACTGAATAACGCCTGTGATTACATGACGTCATATCTAGAGCCTGGTCCAGTGCAATCCAATTTCTATTCAACAAACGATTAGATTAGTTCATTAAAAGGATCTTTTGCTTGTGTTCTATAAAAATTTTAGATTTATTACGAATCTGTAAGTTTTATTGAATGAAACGATATACATTTGTATGCTGTATATGAAACTGCGTTCCCCCAAGTTTTAAATCATTCTTACTAATAACATGTTTCATACGAATCGAGATGGTCTCCCTTGCTCATCATATGCCCAATGTATGGTCAATTGGACGCTACTCCCCGTGAATAGTAGACTCTCCACCAGACTCGATCCTTTGCAGGCTGAATAAATAATAGAAATCGGCCTAAAAAGGGGTTTTAATTGTCCAGAGACCCAGAGAAGTTGGCCGGCCAGAGAGAAATTGGGCCCTCTCAGGCTGGCCGGCCAACTTCTTTGGCCAATTAAAACCCCTTTTTAGGCCGATTTCTATCATTTCTTCAGCCTGCAAAGGATCGAGTCTGGTGGAGACTAGTGAATAGACCCATGCCCATCCAAAGACGCAGTCCGGAACATGACAGACGTACATCATTAACTTTTATTCATACTGAGGATGAATACACGATCATCAACTGAATAACGCCTGTGATTACATGACGTCATATCTAGAGCCTGGTCCAGTGCAATCCAATTCTTATTCAAGAAACGATTAGCTCAGTTCTTTTTTCACAACCACTTGTTTAACAAGAGTCGATGTAAAACGTCTGTCATCTTCATCAGGGCGTATTTATGACTGGTTCACTGAAACTAGGTGTTACTGTTAACAACGCAGTCCAACATTGCACTGATGAAGATGGCAGGCGGTCTTCGAACATCGGCCCTTGTTGTTAAACAAGTGGTTGTGAATAAAGAACTGTGCTGTCCAATCTATGAAATTATTCGTGCATATTCAAGAAACGTACGTATACGTGCAAGAAAGTCGAAACTCTCAGTGATTATGCCCCACATATTCTAACAGAAAACGTATGGCAGTTTCGCAGCCAGACTATATAGAATTACATTTATCATCAAAGTACATAGTCATATTTATCAAAGTACATAGTCATATTTAATCTTAACCAAGAGTGCTATTAGTGCTTTAACATCAATAGCTTACCACGGGTAAATCCACAACGCCAGTTTGTGTTGTATTTCTAGATTGCACTGTTATTAATGTATCATAAAAAGTGTGGCGAGTTGTGCTGACTATTTCTGATTTGAACATATCCACAATACTAGACGGATCTCGACTTATTTCAGACTGGTCAGAAACTGTTTGAACTCCAGAATGAAAATCTACATGCCTACTTACAGTAGGAACCAAAAAGACGCCAGGAACAGAGTTACTTCCCACTGCTATCTGTGGCGGAGCTGTGGCGTCCTTGCTAGGAGCTATTTGTGGGCGAACAAAGCACCGTTTTACGTTAATCCAACACTTTCCTAACTGCAGTTTAACCTCATTTCTCAGCTCCGTCAGACGAAATGCGTAAATTACCGGGTTAACCAGAGCAAAGATATAGCAAAACGCTATTGCCACTCCCCAGCCCTGAAGGCCACCAGCCGCTAAGCGCTCTTTCATTGTGGTCATATAAAATGTGTTTAAAAGCCGTATAATCTGGATAAGGAAAGGCATCCAGCAAACGAAGAAAATGACCACTACTATCCACAGGGTAATCACCTTTTTCTTAGCCGATGATATGTGTTGACCGTCCGTGTTAGAACATACCTGTTCATGTGGCTCTAACCTACGTTTGATAGCCAGGAAGATACCTACATTGGTCTGAACCACAATCAACATGACCAACAATATGATAGCTGTTAACAGTATCATGTAGTTGCCATCTAAGGTCCCGACACATCGTTCTGCGCTGATGGCGAGGTCCTGACAGTTCCACCCCATCATGACGGAGTAACAGAGAAGCGCGCTCCCGAGCCAGGCTGCGCTAACCGCCGCCGCGGCGTGACGGCCCCTGACGGCGGTGTTGTAGAAGAGTCCGTGATGAATGGACACGTAGCGGTCGATGGACAGAAGAGCGATGCCGAGCAGGGACAGGTACAGCGTGAAGAACAGCGTGGTGTACAGGGCCTGGATGGGAGACTGGGCGGCGTCCGAGCGGAGGAGGAGCGGTATGGAGAGGCAGACCGCCCCGGCCAGGACGTCCACTACGGCGATGTTCCCGATGAAGTAATACATGGGTTTGTGCAGGACACTGGCCCTGACGATACCGAACACAATCAGCAGATTCGGGACGATGATGGCCAGTCCGAAAAGGATCGTGACAATCCTGAATCCCGGTCCGCCCACTGCCTCCTGGAATCCCACCTCCTTGCATCTAGCCAGGGATTTCGCGAACACAGCATCACCAGTCAGGTTGTAGCTGAGCAGGATCATGCACTGGAACAGGTTGATGGAGGGCTCCTCTGCGGCGGTCTTGGTTGAGTTTTCCATCATTTCTTCTCGTACTTTGTCTTGTTTCCGGGCAACGTTAGAGTGGAAGGACAGATATCCTTGTGCCTGCCTTGTACTACTAAAGTGTTTGCGGCCCTGTGTGATGCTCTACGTTAAAGAAGAACACGCATACGGCAGTACCTTATAAAATATTCTTCTCAGATGTGGGACATTGACGTCATTGTGTATCTGACGTGTCCAGAGCGCAGCATGGACGCTTTGATTGTATTATTATTACTAACTCCCTTATTTGGCTTGATTACGATTGATACAGAACAAAACCGGCAAATTGGCTATTCATGGAGAAAAGATACATTAAAGAATAAAAAAATTAGTGCATTGCTTTTTCATGACGAGGGTAGAGTCATAGCAATGCACGAAAGCAAAGTATGAAAAGCCTGAATACAAGACATACAATGTAGGTTATCATTATAACAGTTCTCTTGGCGAAACGAAAATTGTACTCGGTTCCAGCTGAATTCTACCAGACTTCGGCAGGCGACTGGAAAGAGTAGAAATTGGCCAAATAGAGAGATGACTGTACAGTTTGTCACACCCAATTTTATTTTGTGCATGTAGAATAAATACACTCAACACATTATCCCAAGGCAGTTGTACATTTATTCTTCCAAAAGAAGCAAAAGCTTGTAAATTAAAATACACTAGAACTATTGAAATCATGTTTGAAAAACGAAATGATCAGGATGAAATATCAAACACATATTTTCATATAATCTTATCACCACTAACCTTGACTTTCTATTAATCTATCCCACAGTCCACAATTTGTAAAGAACTATCCTACAGGTGTGCCCCCCTGATACTTTTACACTCCACAAAAATTTGATCAATCATGCATTTTATCACCAAGCCAATTCTATAGTATTATGTATCATAGGAAAGTGTATTCATTACCTTTAAAATATAATGATACCATGTTTGTCATGATCCTACAAGGTTAATCACACAAGCTTACTATGCAAGTGCATCACACAACTACATGTAAAATGCTGAAATTTCTCTGCCAACACTTTCTGACATTTCAAACCATACTTACTCCCACTGAGACACCTGATAATGATTCAGACATAATTCAGGCATAAAAGTCTCACCAACAAAAGGAAAAGGCTTTCTAACTGAAAAGGTAACATTTGCATAATGTCTGTGTGGTCTAGCCTAACAAACTACTGCTGTATACTCCTCTAATTAAATGGTGGCAGAGTCCAACTCTGTTCTGCAACTTGCAAGCAACATAATGTAATCCAACACCACAGAGTGTGATCTGCTGGAACCAGCTGCCATATGGTGACAGATGTCTGGTCCAGGTCATTGACCTTGTATGTTTAAAGAGGAAGAAGGCACAGAGCAAAACAATGTATATTTTCCTTCTTCAAGGGTAGACATAAAAATCTGCATATGGTGACATTCCATACTGCCCTAATTCAGCTGTAAGGGAGCTAGCATGGTGATATTTTGCATAGATTTCAGTAGTTGTCCTGGTGCAGATTTCCTCATCATTTTCAGAAGAAGCAGCCACCAAACGTGATGCTGATGTTGTCTCCATGGTGATGGAACTCAGGCTGCCAAAAATGATAGTTGTAGTATACTGTGAGGAAAAAGAAGACGTGGGTTATTTTACACAACTATTATAAAGCATAGGAAAATTAATGTAACAGTAGGCTGTTGTGCTTCTGATTTCAATCCTGAAAAAAAAGTCGGTAGGTACAGACTTTCTTTTGAGTATGACCAAAATGATCCAACAAATGGTCCACCTGTTTGCTTGTACAAAATATTTTACCCTATTGACTAAAAAAATATCAATTCTGCAAATGCATTAAATGATGTTTCAGAGATGTTCAGAGCGTTTGAAAGTCAGATATCAGATTGAAAATTTTCTAGCCCTAACAGTATGCTTTCCCGTGCAATACTAGTACATTGATAGGAAACATGAATTACTATTTATGCTGCACTTACAGACATCTCTTGGGTACAGGATGACGATGATGTCCTCTTGTTTCTGGGCACAGTCTGCCACTGGCTTCAGCCACACCTCTCTGGTGCCTGTCCCCTGGGCCAGCCAGATGTGGGGATAGTCGGCAAAGGCCTGGGTACAGGGGCATAGAACAAGATCATGTCAAAATAAATTTAAAAAGGTCCTGTAGCCTTTCTCAGACCACAGAGCAGTGGGTTGTTAGTCCACTTTGTTTAGAGCACAATATTGGAAGGCAGAGCCCATCCCTCTCCTTCACTGCCTTTTACTTTCCCAATCGAAGTCTGGTACCCATTTTACACCTGGGTGGAATGTGGAAAGTCGTGTCAAGTGCCTTTCCCAAGGACACATTGTTACATCTAGCCAGGTATACAAGAAATCCAACTCAAGGTGACTCAATCATGTGTCTGCTAGCCTATATAGCTAGTCACTTGACCATTTGACACCACACAGAACAAATTATCTTACAGTGAAAACCTGTTACATTGTGTATGAAGTATCCTGTAGTTGCCTAGTATGACCTGCACACTGACTAGGCTTCGTAGCTAGATTGCCTATGCTAGTACACTGCTGACATTGACTGTGGCCCACACGTACATACACTACTTTACTCCTCACCATGTCTTTGGCAGCGTCCCTGGCAGGCGCTCCTGGCATGTCGATGAAGATGTATTTGGATAGTCCGACCTCCGACTCAGGCTTGATGATGTACGGTCGCGGGAACAGCTTCCTGATCACGCTTCCCGCAACCACCTTCCTACTCCTCCTGCAGGGAAGGAAAGTACATGTACAGGGTGTCACTATAGTCTTCACATTACAAGATCATGGTACATGTATGAGTACATATGTGCTACAAGCATATATACCTGACATGTACACTACATGTATTTGTACATGTCTATATTATGTTTACCGAAGGAAAACATATTGTTTTTACTGTTTCTTCCTCCTCCTCTTCTGTTCCAAACACTAACCTCTGACCTGGACAATGACATGATTTGTTGACCTCTGCCACCATGGTGACTGGTGTTGGGTCACATAATGTTGCAATTTCATGGTCTGCTCTACTCCTGTCACCATATACTTGTAGTACATGTATGTGAATGTGTTTGAGTAAAAATTAACAGGGCAGACCATGTCCAAAGGTAAACATTATGCATTTGCTTTGCAAACATTACTTCTCTAGTTACATTGTAGTTTTAGTAGAGAACAGTGATTTATGTAAGATTTTTCTTTTTTCAGATTCAGCTTTGGAAAGGAGTCAGACTTAGCCTAGAAAAAGAATTATGTTCAATAGGCAGGCTTGGTGGACATGTCACTTGAGTGTATAGAAATCTAAATTCTTTGTTCAGATCTTTAGGGACTAGATGAACCTGCAAAACAATTCCAACAAGGTTTTTCAATACAATGTTCAAAGGTCTACAACCTGATGATGATAGCTAGCCTCCCACAAGTTTTAAGTCAAAAGATGTCTATAGCTATAACTAACTTATTACAACTTATCCACAAACATTCTTGTTGTACATGTACTGCTGATATTGTTGTGTATGTACCACATAATGCTGGTGTGTTCAGGCATGTCCTCTGCTGTCTGTATGTTGAAGACATCTGCCAGTGTCTGTATGTCTGGGTTGGAGGAGTCAAAGGCCACCACTCCACTGTCCAGCCTTGTCTTGTGCTGTTTGTAGGCGGACTGGAGAACAGAAAAATCAACTTCTTCTTCCTGAGCATCCTGTACGGATAAAACATAGCAAGAAAGTCAGCAAAGGTCTAGAATTCTTACATTTTCCAATCGCTGAGTCAAAATCTGGCAACAATTGTAACAAATTTTCTCAAAATTATCACATTTTTCAGGATCAATCATAACAACGTTTTCTAAATTTTAAGCCTCTACAGTACCAGGCTTTGAGAAGTGGCTGGAAAGAGTAAAAAACTGACCGAATTGACAGATAATATACCAGGGGAGTTGGTGCTCCCAGCAAACTGTTCTCTTATTAGTGGACCAACTACCTTGGCATGTTATCTGTCTATTTGACCAATTTCTACTCTTTCCAGTCACTTCCTGAAGCCTGATAGAGGCTACAATCAGTTGTCTGGAAAGATAATGTTCGTTGTAAATCATGACTACTACATATATATTGCATTTAAGCTTCTGGATTGTAATTGCCAGCTATGCTACATTTTGTACATCATGTACAGGTACCTTGATGATGACAGGTTTTAGTGTGCTGTAGTAGGCATCGGTGAAGTTCTTGGCACGTCTGATAGAGGGCACTCCTTTCACCTTCTTGTATTGCAAGCAATTCACCTGCTGAGGAGGCTGGAGGAAGTTGGGTACCAGGCATTCCTGTTCATAGTAATCTAAAGACAAAAAAAGAGAAGTAACTTAACTTGATCTATTCTAAAAACAGCAACTATAACGCTACTTGTGTCAGCAAATGTTGTTGTAATGTCTTAGTGGACAAAAGTTACAGCACATACCTCGGGTCAAGCATAAATCATTTCATGCATACTGAACTCCCACACACAATGATTAACTCCTGTAAGCCTGTTGATTAACTTCTATGAGCAAGTTATTAAAAGCTCACATGAAGCAATCTCAACTAGAAAAGTAACATTTGCAAAGGAAATGCATAATTTTTACCTTTGTGCATGGTCTGCTCTGTTAATTCTTACTCAAGCACATTCACATATATGGTGACAGTCTAAACCCCTCCTACAATAAGATTGCAACATAATTGCCAGACGGCTGCTGTCACGGTATTAAAGTGGTGTTGGGTTATATAATTTATGTAACCCAACACCAGTTACCATGGCAGCAGCCGTCTGGTTCAGTCAGGTCAGAGGTCACTGTTTGGAGAAGAAGAGGAAACGTAGCAAAAACAATATGTTTTCCTTCGGTACATAATGTACTTCCCAAAAACTCACCTTCGAGCCTGAAGAACTTGGCGAGGGGGAGTGTCAGTAACCTGGTTGCCCTCATGAGGGGATAGGCCAAGTCCTGACTGAACTTGGCCACCACCCTGGCTGTCGGGTCGTGGTACGTCTACGAACACCGTTCCCAAAACCAGGGCAAAGCCGATCAGGAACATAACCTTCAGGGACGTGACCAAACACTGGCCACAGGACGATCTCACAGGGCGGCCCCCCTCCCCACTCCTGCCGTCAGGCTGGAGGGCTTGACGGATGCACTTCTCGATGACTTCGTCGGAGAGTCCCCAGTCTTTCCCCTTCTTCCGAATACTCAGGAAGCTCTCGGACACCTTTTCGTAGACATATTCTGGCTCAGTCGTCTCTTCGTTACCAGGCATTTTTCACAAATTTAAACAGCTATTAAATGGCGTACGTGCCCTCCGAAGCTGTCTAGTGTCTGTCAAAAATGTTTTGTCTCGCTGCCACTTACTTCCGTGTTTTGCTATCCCATGATGCACGAGGAGTTGGCGCGAATTTTGAATGAACAGGGTCTGCTCTGACGCTTGTACTTGGACAACATTTTTCTGGTTTAGACGAGCAGCTGCTAAAGTTTGTTACATTATGGTGAGTGACGCGGGCTATACATCATATCCATCCGTCCATCCATCCATCCATCCATCCATCCATCCATCATCCATCCATCCATCCATCCATCCATCCATCCATCCATCCATCCATCCATCTATCTATCCACCCATCCATCAAATTGCAAAGCATTAACATTATTTTGATGTATAACTCAACTTGAAACATTTAACTGAACGATGAAGGAGACTAGATTGTTGACTTCATGTCTTTTA